AAGGCTGTCTGTCTTAGGCAGAAAGGCAGTACACTTTGGTTTTTAGTGAGCACAACCCAATAACATTAAATAATACCAATTGTAAAACAAGACTTTTTCCTAAAAATAGTTAAGTAGAAAAGGAAAATGTATTAAATTGTAATCACCTTTATTACTGTTATCTTCTCAATAAAAACAAAATATGATACTCATGGGTTCATATGAAGCCTTTCTTTCAACAAGTATACATTAAATGCTGATTTTATTGATTTGTAAAAAAAATTGCTAAGAAAATGTCACCTTTACACCTGTTTATGTCTGTTTTTTGAAACCTGACAAGGGTATGACATGGCAGATGAAACACCAGATGAGTTAGGGAGAGGTATGCAGTATAGATAAAAGGGTATTTTGAACACAGAGCATGTGTTCAGAATAGCATGTACCTATACTGGAAACCAGTGTGCAGACTTTAACACAACAGGCATTTACACAAATTAGATTTCAGTGGAATATCTGGCAAAACAGTGTGTGTTAGTATGTGAAAGCGATTTATTTGGCTTTATGCAAATGCAGACAACTAAATGTGACCTCTGCACTTAAACCATCACCATAGTGATCAGTGGACAGTTCAAGGCCCCAGGGAGCAGTGTGTGGGTAGGTGCCGTGCTCAGTGCGCCACTGTGGCACCTTGGCAACTGTTATTATTTTTAAAACCTGCAACCTATCAGGTACCTTTCTTCACCACCAGGACACCCCTGCTCTGAATTGAAGAACATTCATCCACTGGAACTCACTCACAGATGAGAGAGAATTGATTTTTGTGGATGTAGTGACACAATTCATTACCAACACAGATTGGAGAGTAAATCCACAACTTAATCTAGTGTTTGAAGTGCACACCAGACCATGTTGACCACAAACTTTTCATCAGCTCTAGTGTCATCTTCTACTGCTTCATATTATTTAGGATGACATTTTTAATTTTGATGAAGAATAAAAACAAAACACACACACACAGAGGAAAAATGTGGTCTCCAGAAGAGCCAACCACTGACCTTCTTGTTGGATTGATGCTATGATTCCAAACCTTCTGAGCAAAAAATAAATAAATAAATAAATAAACAGCAAGTGATTCTAAGGTAAACGTTCACTCCGATTTTTTCAGAATATGCTGCGGATTGTTAAAATTGGTGCAACGTCATTGTCAATTACGTCAAAATCTAAGTCACAACGTCATGACGTCGTAAGTGTACCAGCCCCTCGGATGAATGAGCTGAAGACTGACAGCAAGAAGACAGGCTGGGTCAGAAGAGAGGATGTGCCGACGGATGGAACATCTGCATTCGTCCCAGACTCTGGCCACCACCGAACAGAGGCGACGTTACAAGTGAAAATAATACGCGGACGATATTTCTGTGGATGGTGTGATGATTACGCCCGCAGGATGCACCGACTATTCTCTTTATCTTCTCCAGAAACAGGGGAGGTGAAGCCTTGTCAAGATGATGTCCGCTCTAAAGCACTTATTCTGCGGCTGTAAAACTCGCTAGTCCTGGACGTTCTTGGTTGGACTGGTTGACAGTATAAGGACAGAGAAAGAGAAGTCATTGGCAGATATTGGATTAAATGCCTAGTCGTTTTTGTACTGAATGTACATTTTTTCACGGTTCGGGATCATAGGGTTATTAACATCTGTTTCAGCTGGGGTTTTTTTATCGGTCAGATTCCACTACTCATCATCAGTAGCAGCGGGTTAGCCACGGTTGGATAACGCCAAAGCTGCCTTTTGACATTTTTTATTTTACTTTTTGTGCGTCAGCTTCATATTTTGAAGCATAGTTCCTCCATAAGCCTCCTCCGGTCGCCATGTCAGTCAATGTTTAGGTCGGTCATCTTCGCCTGGTTACCACTGGGTAGATTTATTTAGCTTAGCTAACGGTAGCCACGGAGCCGTGGTGCGTTTACGGTCAACATGTCCCCACGGTTGTGAAGCTAAAATACAGACACAATCCCAGCAAAAATGTGCGCAAAGGCATGAAGAACCAGAACTTCTCATGTCGGACTGAAAACCAGCACCGTGGCGCCACTGGCCGTAAGGTCACTAAACAAACGAGGAAGGCTTATGACTAGTGGTAGAGGAGAGTGGATCAGAAGCTGGAACTGTAGCCTTCTGCTTCCAGAGACCACCGACAGAAGCTGTTTCACCCACTTTTAAAGACCAGTACCAGCAAAATGGGGTACGTAAACTGCACTGCAGTGAAATGCGATTTTGTGTGTGTGTGTTTGTGTGTGTGTGTGTGTGTAACTCCCACGTCAAGGTGCCACTAAGCTTCCTTTGGATTTACCGTACGCAGAATTGAGCGTGGTTACCAAGAACTAGCCAATGCTACTGTCATCGCTTCTGTCAGGAATGTCAACCTGGCAGCATGTTAAAATCATTGTCCTCTTTAAACGAGCCACAGTACATTCTATAATCAGTGACAGCAGCAGAAGCAGCTGTCCATCACCGTGTCCACTTGGACTGACATTTCAGATCACAGTTTCAGAGTCCAAAGATTGTTCTGAAAATAAGTTGATGTCTGAGCTGTGTACATAACGTGGCTTGCTGAGAGTTTTTTTTAAATAACAGATAAAAGTACTACAACCTATAACAATTAGTAATCTGTTAGGAACAAACATCATAAAACTAGTAAAAAAGGTTTAGTGTTATTGCTGTATTTGTTGTTTTGCTGACAATTTCAGCCGTTCTCCTGACAGTTTTCAGCAGGGTCACACAATCCCTGCTGTCATAAATAATAACTTGGCAGAAGGTCGGAATAAAATGTCTGTGCCAATAAACTGCCCAGAGTACAGCATTGAACTCGTCCCAGCAGCAGCTTTCTATCATTATTGTGCCCACTCGCTCTCTCACACACATTCAAACCCACACTCTGAGATGACATTTTAGACGACACAAGTTACAGTTTGCTGAACTGCTGTCAGAGAAAACGTCTGAGCAGTGCATATACGTATTAAGGCCCAAGTTTCACTTGTTAGACTGTTTATAAAATGTGGACGTGACCCTAAGCTTTCAAAGTTGGCAGTAAACCAGAAGTCCTACCAGTAGAAAAAAAACACATATATACAGTAAAAGTACTGTATAAAAAAAAGTTAGTGTACAAATTATTACACATCTACTCACTTTCACCCGCAGCCTATTCCACCTAAAACCACCTAAATTCCTAAATTCCTAAAACCATCTTTCTTATCCACATACATGGTACTATAAAATAAGTAGTGAGGTAATTTACACCGCTGAGGTCACATTCTGAAAAATAAAACAAATGGTAGTAACCATAATTTGCAAGGAAAGTGAATATTGACCTGAAAAAATAGTAACAAAAAGCAGATTATTTTCTATAGCTCCCCATTCTTTTCACGATACAGGGGCATTGATACGATATACTGCGATACTATAGGCATGGTGATATATTCAGTTTTGTAGGGAAACTATCAGCACAATAAACACGCAATTCTGTTACATGCTTAACATCAGGTCACTAACAGAGTTCTACATTTGTATTGCTAGAGAAGAAATAAAAGCAAAATTAAATTAACCAACACCATGAATATTTGCATGTTAATTATTCATGAAAAAAATTTGATACAGTGCTCTAGAATATCAATACAATATTGTGAAATGTAATATTGCGATATATCGTTGTGTATCAGTGTTTTCTTTCCCCCCATTTTGGACATGGGTATACAAAAAGTTTCTTCAAGTCTTGGTAGAGATGGATGCTCTGTTTTGGTGCATTTAATGTCAGGTTTTGAGCCTTTGCACGTCAAGTGTCAATTCCATGTTCCTCTAATATCCCAACATATGTCTGAAGCATTTGCTTTTAGTTGTTTTGATGTTTCATTACAGAATGGTTGTTCACAGAAGCTGAAGTTAATGAGCGTTGCTTTTTTAGGTTTCACTTCTTCAACAAGGTGTTAAAAAATAAAACCCTTTAGAAATGAACCCATCGACCTAGTCAAACATCACGTGTTTTTGTTGATCAGTTTCCTTATTTTTGTTGCAGCTGTAGTTATATGTATCTTTAGTTTGCAAGATCCTACAAAATAAATGTAGTCATTATTTTAAAACACCTATATTGCGTGCATTATAGGTACACTATACTTTTTAATTGTAAAGCCCAAATCCCTGCTCTGTGTACGTTTGTACGACCATGGAATCAGGACCATAGTGATCGCCCCATGCCTTTTGATTCATGTAATGCATGTGGCTGAACCTGCAGTTGTATAGTGATCCTCCTGATCAAGAGCGACCTAGTTCTTACTCTAGATGAAAGCAGATGATGAAGCATGTGATTGGTTTGTTGTCATATTGTGGTTGGGGGATGGGGTGGGGTGAACTGCTTACATCCACATGCAAAGCACATCCTCTCTAAAGCTCAAGGCCAATGGTTATAATCCAGTCTTCAATCAATTCCTCAGAGACAGGACAGGGAGCATGTCCTCTACTGTGTACTGTTACCTCCTAATTAGCCTAGTTTATTCTGACACTCACTGGCGGTTCTGTTCTGGTACCATATATTATTGTTAATTACTGCTGTCTTACAACATGGCCGACATGGCGTTTAATCCAGATGTGCCAACCTTCTCTGTGGGGTGGGGGGGTGGAGGGAGGGGGATCCATGTGATCCAGAAATTCCTGTTTCCTATTCCTATTTTTCAACATAATACACCTTTAATTTAATACATTTTTTCCATGTAGTACCAGTGGCCTTGCTCCTGTCAGCGAACCAGCGGTTGGAGAACTCTGATGCACGGTCTTCAGTTATCTGCTGTGAAATTGAAACAGTGGAGGCTGATCTTTAATGACAATGCAGTAAAGATGATGATGTGGTTAGATGTCAGGAGTGACACAGGAGTGATTAGTGAGCATATCACAGAAACAGCTCTGTCTGATAAACAACAGCTGTGATAACAAGTGTAAAAGAGGAAACACTTGTCTTCCTCTTTTACACTTATCTTAATTTAGATCTTAATTACATTGTTTTTGGCTTAATGAACAAGATGTTGGACGAGGCCACATTTAGCTTGCAAGGAAGTGAATAATTAAGCTTACACATAATTTTGTTACAGTCTAAAAGAGGGTATTCATACATATGTATGTATGAGAAAATTTCAATTTGTAGCAAATTTCTTACTGGTCAATATTTTTTAACAGTTGTTAACATGACACAGTGCGGTAGGTTTTTTAATGTGTGCAGCAGCAAATGTGTGTTCATATGAGTGTGTGTGTGTGTATGCGTGCACAAGCATTTGTGTAAATTATTATGTTTATACAGTATGTTAGCACTATAAAAATGAATGCATTAACACACTCTGTATCCAATCATACCATTGCTGATCCACTTATCCACTTCTCATCACCCAGCATGTGTCGGTGGAGACTTCAACTTTTAGTCAGATGCCCGACTTGCATCAGTCCAGTCTGACAACTGCTCATCACCCAGCATGTGTTGGTGGAGACTTCAACTTTTAGTCAGACTTGCATCAGTCCAGTCTGACAACTGACAAGATGGCTGACACAATTGTTGATGCGTTCCCTGAGACTGTAGACTGAATAATATTGTTGAGGACAACGGTTTTCACCAAAGTTTTAGGCCAACGACAATACGCACAGTAATGACCACAACCCACCGACTCTATGAAGCTAATTTTTAAATTGTACTTTTGCATCGTTTTTGTGACATTGGTGCCCATTTTTAATTCCATCATTTGGATTATTGTGATTATAACTGGTGTGAAAACACATACGTCATACACATACTGACTGCCGTTGTTTTTTGGTCACATTTAGAATCAGATTTAGTTAATGTTGCTGTCCAGCCGGGTAGGACGATGCCTGAGTTATAGTGTGGGTAATGGTCTGAGCTAAATCAATATTTGGTAAATATTTAGCAACTCCTGTGTGTTTGCTGTTTGCATACACTCACTATGTACATATGGTGATCCTGACACCCTGAATATTTATTCAACTTTATATTTATGTTGTGTCCACATTTATGGCCAATCATCAGTTTGTGTTATGTTTACCGTTATCGAGGTATAAAAGAAATAACATGATTAAGGACGTTGTTTGTAACACATTTTCTATGAACTACTACTTTCATTTACAAACTGTGCTGGCAGACATGCTCCGTTCATGTAATCATTTCAGCTTGTTTAATCTGTCTGTCAGAAAGCTCTGAGTTCTCAGTGTGGCATATGGGTTTTTCAGTTTGGAGGATTTTTGCCCTGCCAAGCTTCTCCACTTGCCAGTGGGTAAACTGACAGTGACACCAGAACTGGATTGGTGGAAACCCCGTGTGGGAAGGACAGAAATACTGAGTTAGGGGTTGTTCACAGCTCATAACCAGTTCTGAGTCATGTCGGCTGTTTTCATAACAACGCAGCAGCTGTTGTAGTGATGTGGGTATATTTTTCCTGTAATTGTTACAGGATGTTTCCTCATGTTTGGACACATTTAAGTATTTGTCCTCTACTTCAGAGTGTCTATAAACAGTACTCTTGTGCATCCTGGAAACCCTGGAATAAAAATGTTTCAGTCATGGTTGAACATGGAAAATTTGTCGTGGTTTTCGTTTAACCTTGTTGCTGGATTTGAAGATTTTTAAGAACCTGTTCAGGACTTAGCAAAGAGGCAAATCTAGTGACATTGCAGTTAAAGATAGTATATAGTATCGGTCTTAGACCTACCGTATTTTTCAGACTATAAGTCGCTCTTTCATCCTTTGGCTGGGTTTGTGACTTGTACTCAGGTGCAACTTATGAATTAAAATATATAATTTCACATGTCATGTTCACACTGACAGCCGCTAGAGGGCACTGGTGCGACTTATACTTGGCGCAACTTATATACGTTTTTTTTTTTCTTCTACATTATGCATTTTTCTGCTGGTTCGATCTATACTCCGGAGCGACTTATAGTCCGGAAAATACAGTATGTAGACTGTGTGGTCGAGGAGTGTTTGGTGTGGTCACAGTCTCCTTTGTCTGTCCTCTGTTGAAAATGTAAAATGTAATCAGGGTAAATGAATGTATAAAAAGAAAGGTGCAAATGTAGAAAAGAACAGAATTTGAATGTATTAGGTGAACAGGGATGAAACATTGTCATGCTGAAAATGTTCTAGAAAATATACTTTTAAGGAAAATAGGAACCTGGTATCAACCCGGTACAACATCCTGTTTTGGCTGAGTTGTTTCGGTGATAAAAGTATGTTGGCCAATGATTTTGGGTGGCCGAATAGTCGGTGCATCCCCAATAATAATGTTAAATGTCAACCAACAACAGATAGAGAAAACTGTGGCTGTGTGTTGTTTCTACTGTAGTTAAAGGCTAATCCCGCCACATTAATTTCTCACAGACATCTGATCTGAGAGCTGCTGGTGTAAACACTAGTGGCTGTGTTTGCCTTTATCACAACTGCTGATCTGATAGCATCTGTGGTTGGATTCCTCTGTCCAAGGACACGCAGATTGAGCCTTAGCTGCTGACGACCTGGCCTGCGAGACAAAAGTAAATAAGTAAATATTTACACAAGCTTGTAGTGATTATATATTAATCAAAATATTTACACAAGCTTGTAGTGATTACAAGCACTTTAAGTAGTAGATTATATGGGGATAAATCTTTTTGTGAAAGTTGAAATACGATTAAGAATCCGTGGTTTAAACTTAAAAAAAAAACAACATAATTTTATTAATTCTGAAATTGTAAATGTTTCTTTTACTCATTTATACACATGTAACTACAGTGAAAATGTAAACCTAAGACTTTACAAATGTATCGTCTTCAATTAAGATCACGATTAATCATGACAAATCATGATTAATTATTAATGATACATTTGAATTGTCCATTGAAGTTAAACGATAGCGTGGGGCTTCTACACGGTGCAGCTTTGTTTCCATGATTGAAGAATACACGCAACATTGTGTATCACATATTCAGTATATATTCAGTTAAAGGCCAGTGCGGTAACAAAATTCTGAAGCACTCTCAAACCAGAGCACCTTGAACAGAGGCAGATGGTCACGTGTCTGTGTCTCTTGGACTCATGTGGAGATCAGCATGCAGTTTAAAATCTAAATTGCTTCAATTCTTGTCAGCAAAAATTGCCAAATTCTATGTTTGAGTGGCAAATCCCCCACCTCTTCAGAATATGTATTTCTGTGTGTGCCTCAGAGCAGAGGTCTCTCGTATTTCTGTCACTGTGTGTGCCTCAGAGCAGAGGTCTCTCCATCACTTCATTTCTATTAATGTTCTGTGTACTGTCATTAACATGAATTACTGTCAGGTTATTCTTACCTCCTACTGCTGAGGTAACAACATGTGTGAACTGGAGTTACTGTCACAGTCAGGTTCCTGATTAACTGTCTCTCTTTAAATAACATCCGCAGAGTCTTAGCTGTGCATATTTAATTAACACAACTGAGCCACAGAGAGAGGTTCCCACAGAGGAGTGCAATCAGTGTGTCCCACATTGGACACATGGTGACAAATTTATTAGGAGACACATTTACTCTACACCAGTCTAATGTCTCTGACTGTTACTGATTGACTGACTTATTGACTGGATGGGATGTAAAAGGTACTTCTCTGTGGTCGGTGAACATTTTTCTCTCTTCTCCATTGTTGAAAACACAACAACATAGAAGTAATATCACTAAATATACAAAGATGAAAGGTACAACTTTCAGTGCATTAGAAGAACAGGGAATAATTATTGGTGAATGACAGGATAACGTGTCCGTCAGGATGTAACAGCAGAGTTAAAAGTCCCGGAAAATAATTTTAAGAAAAATTACATTTACAGACAATATTGAAATAAGCTAATGTTTTTTTTTTTCAATTGGTGCTGCATCAACCTGGGTTGGGATACAGAAGGGAATATACAGCCAAAAAACCTTGGGAACCACTAGAGCAGGGGTGTCCACACTGTTTTGTCTTGTGATCTACTTACCAGGTTAATGTGATCTACCTATATTGAAAACTGTAAATATATATTTACTCATATAAACTGAATATCTTATTATATACATTTTATTTTATATACATTATACTGTCTGACTCAATACTTTTAGATCCTCACCTTAGCTGTAGGGATTAGCATCTTAAAATAGAATTACATGTATATCATTTTTATTATTATTATTTTAAATGTAATTGCTCAGGATCTACCAGCACTCCCTTCGAGATCTACTGTCAGATCTCGATCTACTTATTGGACACTCCTGCACTAGAGTATCTGTAAGAAAAACCTTGTTCTGGACATAGGTGGACTACACACGTTTACAAAGCTGCCAGTGTAGACACTGAGGTGATGTGCTCTGATCTGGCTCAATCTAAGACCCTGGTAACATTTTCCCCTCGACATGTTGAAGAGTTTTTTTTTTTCTCTGTGGTAGCACAGGGGTTTCCAGGTCACCTTCACCGTCACTGTCTCTCTCTGCAGCAGAGATGAGGTCTGTGGTCACATCTCTACATACTCAGAAACACCACCTAGGCTCCACGATGACTTTTAGGGCAGAATCAGGCCACGGATCAACACTGCAGTATATAGAGCTGGTGTTTACTCTCGGTTATTCACATTATTGATTGATCTTTGCCCATGTGATCATTCCCAATCCATCGGCCCATCATCGGTTGATTGGTGTAATCCTTACTTTCTCACGTGTGTCGCTTAGAAAAGCTGCACCAGATTGAGAACAGTCTCCGAGAGTCTGTGGGAGTGGTGATGATCTCAGAGCTGATGGGGGGGGGTGGGGGGGGTGTACACTGGGAGTCCGTCCATGAGGGCTCAGTATTTCTTGTTTTAAAACAGAGACTCATTAACGTAAAAAAAGTCCTCTAGGTTTACCTCTTAAATGGTTTTATCATCATATCCATTGTCAGAACAGTTGGGAAGTGAATACTACAGAGAAGTGTTTTTTTTCTTCCAAAAATAGCACAGACCAGTAGAACTAATGTTATCGGTTTATCAGTAACTTTATTGTCATGTTGTGAAGCTCCATTGATGACAATACATTATTTGAAAAGATCGTTGTGTTAAACATCAACTGATGCAACAGTGTTCACAGATTTCTTAACTTTTGTTCTCTCCATTCCTCTCCTCGCCCATAGAGAACAGCCCATCTTCAGCACACGGGCCCACGTCTTCCAGATCGACCCGACCACCAAGAAGAACTGGGTTCCGACAAGTAAACATGCAGTAACGGTGTCGTACTTCTTCGACAGTACCAGGAATGTGTATCGCATCATTAGCCTGGATGGATCTAAGGTGTGGAAACGTCTCACACACACTCCTAAATAATCTGGAAACTGGTTTCCTGTTGTTTTGACCGTCATTATTGACAGAGGAGCAAATCTTCAGATAGAAAGTTCGTCCCCTCAGCTGAGTTGTCCAGAATCACCGACATCAGTTATGGACAGTATATTCTACTTCTTCACTCACTTTCTGACTTGTTTTGGCCTCTGTGCTGAGGCAGTGAGGAGGCGGCCACGGCTGACATGTCTGTGTGGCAGTGATTATTTTGGTCTTGAGCGAGGTGCAGGAGTGGCGTTAGCATGGTTATGTAAGACCGAGCCTCTCCGGGCGACTGTGTCTGTTGTTGAAGAACCAAGTTAGTGGTGCAGCGTTCAGCTGGAAATAGCAGTGATTGTGAGTGCCTGAGCTGGAGGACATAATCATCCAGTATAAACGACAACAGTAGGTTTCAGCCAGACAGAGACACCATACGGAGGCAAAACATTTTCGACTCATGAGTTTTTGATAAGTGAGGTGAAAGTGTGGTGCGTATGTACTGCAAATGTTCCCTGACGGATGAGGAGAGAACATTTACAGCAGATAACAATGAACACATCCAACCAAGCCACAGGTCTACATAGTAGTGCCATGTGATTTTTGTGATTTTTTTTTTCCCCAACATTAAAATAACGTGATAACATTTCCTAAACAAGGCAAAGAAAGACATTATCTAAAAAGAAAAGAAGGAATTCTCAGTAACAAATTACACTTTCAGAGTAGTTTTGACCTAAGAGAATATTCTTATCCATCAGCCATCTTGTTTTGGTTGCAGTGCAGTTTTTTTCAGGCATAACAAGTCTTTAAAAACCTTTACAGCAACCGATTAAAGCAACGTCTAATTTTGTCTTTGAATTTCCATCCTTCCTTCTTACGATTTGGGCCAAAGTCATGTTGCATTTGATTTTTTCCCCCCAGGCCATCATCAACAGCACCATCACTCCCAACATGACTTTCACCAAGACGTCACAGAAGTTTGGTCAGTGGGCTGACAGCCGGGCAAACACTGTCTACGGCCTGGGCTTCTCATCTGAGAGTAACCTGGTCAAGGTATGGACACTGGCTGGTGTTATAACGGTTAATCTGTTTAGCATTTAAATGTACATAGTGTTTAAATGTCTTGATGGTTTTATGATATTTATTCAAGTTATGTAACATAAATCCATTTGTGTTAATTGATAATTATTGTTCTCGCACCTTCAGTTTGCAGATAAGTTTGCCGAGTTCAAAGAGGCAGCACGGTTAGCAAAAGAGAAGTCTCAGGAGAAGATGGAGCTCAGCAGCACTCCCTCTCAGGTAACACTAAACTAAAACGAAAAACGAAAACATGTTTGGATAGAATTCTGAGTCTTCTGCTACTAAAAAGTAAAACAGAAAAATGGCACCGTTGATAACACAGTCACATCAATGTCATTAGAATCCTGTGCTGAGAAACAAAATCATCAGTAACTGGTCTCAGACAAGACAAACTCAAACTTTCATCACATGGTTTGTCTCAGCTTCAGGTACAAGGAGTTTGACATACTGATGTCAGAGATATGGCACCTGAGATGATCACTCGTTAGATTAGATCAGATTGACAGGATGATTGTGTAGAAGTTTACAAGCAGAGGAAGAGAAGATGTGGGGGATGTTTCTGGAATTGGTTTCACGAAGTCTGTTTCCATGGTAGTTCATTTGAAAAAACATTCAAGTTCTCTTATCGTCCCACATGAGCAGCCTTTGTAGCCTTTGCTTCAACAATACTCACAATAGTCAACCCATTAAATGTGTTGTCTCTCTGTGTGGGTCTGATCAAATTCATGATTTGGTATGAATGTTTTTTTTGTTCTTGTTGATTGTTTTTTTTTTTTTTTCATTTATTGTCCTGTTTGGCTTCTGCTCAGACTGGCGCTGCCCAAACCAACATGTTATCAGTCAACAAACCTGGTAAAAATAAGGTAAAAATGAAACGAACAGATTTATTATCGTAACCCAGCCCTGATGACTCCTCCATCTCAGTCCTGCCCACAGTTTATGATTCACTCGTCTCTTCCCTGCTGTGTCTACCCCGCAGAATTCTGCTTTGAAATAGTAAAAAAATTCTGAGACATTTCTCAGAACTATGAACACTATGGTGTGTTAACTGCTAGTTATGTATCGGTGTATAGTACTCCTAAGCTTCAAATCACTGTCTGTAATACTACAGTGGTCTTGGATCAGGTCGATGTTATTGCTCGTTCAAGACCCCACGTTTAATCTCCCAGAATCCCCTGCTGTGATCTCAGCATTTCTTGTCATATGTTCTTATACTTGACTGTCATCTACACTAATATATGTGTATATATGTATGTATGTATATATTTATATGTAGTACATATATACATACATACATATGTATATATATGTGTATACATACATATATACACATATATACATATATACATACATACATATATACACATATACATACATATTATGTATGTATATGTGTATATATGTACTCATTTATTTATATATATAAATAAATGAGTTAATGAGTTATGTTTAAACAAAGTAATTAAGTTTGTTTCACTCGATACATTAAAAAAATTATGGTTAAACAAAGTAATTAAGTTTGTTTCACTATGTATGTATATGTGTATATATGTACTCATTTATTTATATATAAATAAATGAGTTATGTTTAAACAAAGTAATTAAGTTTGTTTCACTCGATACATTAAAAAAATCAAATTACCGTCACAATTTTAATGATACATTTAAATAGTTTGACAACTACTGAGGATTTTGATTTTGTATGTGTTTTTCTATTTTGTCTTGATCACAGCATAGCACTGTTGCTAAGGTTTTCATGGTGGAGCAGGTTCCAGCTCAGTCAGTACTTGAGTACGGTTTATTAATATCCATGTGCAGCACAGAGCAGGAAGTGAAGGAACTTTCTGCTGCTGTCTGTCAAAGAAATGCAAACCATCAGTAGCCGTCATTTATTTACCTTTAAGACTCCAACAAAGCCAAAGTAGTCGGTCTCCTTTTCCCCCTCTCCTGTGTTTGTGATAAAAGATCCATCAGAGACATGAAAGAGTGGCAGTGATTTTCCCGTCCACTCTGAGTAAGTTGATTTTGATGATAATGATAATAATGTTTTTTCCCCATGAATGTGTGAAACCAGGAGTCAGCGCCCGGGGATCTGCTGTCGCCTGTAACCCCTGAGAGCATCAATGGAACCAGTGAGGAGAAAGTTACACCAGACACACCACAGCACTCTGAAGCCAGAGCAGAACCTTCCCAGAATGCACTGCCCTATTCACACAGGTAATCCACAGTCTGCTACAACATGTGGTCAGTGCATCTAAAAGGGAAGCAGAATGTCTGTTTGTAGAGCTGTGGTTTCTGAAGCCGAGCTCACGCGTGAAAGACTTTGATCTTCATGGATGACGGCATTTCATTAATGACACGACAGTGAGATGAAATACAGAATGTGAGGTCTTTCCCATAGCAGTGGTTCTTCAAGTCCTTATTTCCGTATGTATGTATGGAAACTTAAATGGTGATGTCAGAAATGGTTGGTGTTTTTTTCTTGAAAAATGAAAGAAAATTTAAAAAGTTGAACTTGATTTCAGTCTTTCAATGAAGCAAAGAAACCAGTTGTGACATCAGCTGGTTGAAAACACCACTCGTTGTATTTACATTTAACAGTAAATACTTTGTTGTGAAATAAAATGTTGACAGCTGAACTTGTCTTCTCCTCACATGGTCCAATTCATCCAGCATAAACAAACACTGGGAGGCGGAGCTTGCGGCGCTGAAAGGAAACAACGCCAAATTGACGGCAGCTCTGCTGGAGTCCACAGCCAACGTCAAGCAGTGGAAGCAGCAGCTGGCTGCCTACCAGGAGGAGGCGGAGCGGCTACACAAACGGGTGATGACCGACTGGAGACCTGATCAAACTGTAAATTAAAAAAAAAAAAGGATCTGAAGTTTGTTTTTGAAAATCCACTCCTGCTCTTCAGGTGACTGAGTTGGAGTGTGTGAGCGGTCAGACCACAGTCATCAAATCTCAAAAGACAGAACTGAACCAAACCATAGAGGAGCTGAAGTTTGCTCTGAGGTCCAAAGAGGAGGTGGGTTGTGTGGATCTGGGGTGTGACTAGTGTGTTAAACATGAACATCTGAACGTTTCTGCTTTTTTTTTTTTTTCAGGAGCTGGAGAAGCTTAAAGCAGAGGTGGAGAGTGCCCATGAGTTTGAGTCCCAGAAAAACACTCTCACACACAAACTGCAGGTCAGTTAAATACTGCACTAGTACACAGATATACAGTACTACGGTCTGCAGTTTGGTTATTCATTTGTTGTAGTGCAGCCATCATCAAGTGGTGGCCCGTGGGCTGAATTTGGCCCACCAAACTGCCCAATCTGGCCCATGACTAGATTCCAAAACATGCCTCAAATAATAATGTTAGACAAAAATGTGATTTTTAGTATCTAACCCCTATGTGTCGATCTGGCTCTCCAGCTTATGTAGTTGCTGACCCCTGTTTTAGAGTCAATGACAAATGCTTTTTATAATGACACAATGTGTCTAAGACTCTGTCTCATGTCAAATTCAAAGACATTTCTTTTCTCTGCGTACATTAATGTGAACTTCGATATGTTCTTCAGGGAGCAATTTTTGCCTTTTTACACAAATAAAGGGGATTTAAAGGAGGATTTATGGAAATAAGACTTTAAATAGTAAATTCTATTTACTGTATTTACTATCCTTTAGGTTAAACAAGGCAAATTTTGAACCTCAAGGGCCAAAATCTGAAAAACACCATCTTCAATCTTTGTAGCTCTTTTATTTTTATTTTTAAAAATCCATTTGCCTTAGAACTTTTTAATTGATCCTCAAACATTCCCTTCATAAAATGTGTTTTTTTTTTAATTTTTTAATTAATTCAACAGTTTTTTCCTCACACACACCTGGTGTGGCAGACTGAAATTGTCTTTTTTTTTTTAAACAAAGGAGGGAAGATCATTATTTCAGTTTCCTTCTCTTTCTTGCTCATCGATGTTTACCTGCAAAGTATTAAATAATTAATGTCGCCTATTTTCAGGAGGCTGAGACAAAAAGCCAGACGCTGGAGGCCCAGCTGGGCGACCTGGAGCAGCATCTGGAGAGCAGCCAGCAGGAGAGCGAAGCCTTTCGGAAAAGCCTGCGCTCCCTGCTGGAGCTGCTGGACACGAAGATCTTCGAACTGACCGAGCTGCGGGACACACTCGCCAAGCTCATCGAGGGTAGTAGCTAGAGAGAGACGCGCACACACACACATTCATAGTGAACACTCGCCAAACACATGGCTGAAAGAGAGCCGCCAGAGGAGAAACACAGCTGCATGTTGTCACTCACTTCTGTCATGACCAGAATTTGTTTTTCTGAGTGTATGTTTACACACTTACTACATGCATTAAAGGTACACACACTTTACTACGTCCACATCGTTTACATACTCAGTGAAGAGGGCTTCGTCTGTGACCTGCCTCCTCCTCCTTCTTCCCTCCACTCTGGAATATTCATTGCTCTGCAGCACAGATGCTGTTGATCAATCTATTTTTATCCTTTCTTTGCCCTCTGCTTCTTCTTTGATGAGTTTTTCTACATCTTCACTTTGGTAGAGTTTTGTATACACCTGGAGTTGACATTTTTATCCTTTTTTTCCCCACTTTTGACGTCACTCAGAACACTTGAGCATCCAAGAAAGAAGTAGAAAAAAAAAATATTTTTTTTACTCCACTAATTTAATTAATTGAACTCTGGAGGGTGAAACATGATATGGAGAAATCAGATGCTTCACCCTGTGGGAAAAAAGAGACAACATTATGTCTTATATTCTTCAACAACATAAGAGCAATACAAAATGGAAGCGTCAACGACTAAGCAAACACTAAACAACACTTTCAGGTAACTTTACTCCAGTCAAGGTGGGATTTTATTCTAAAGTATTTCTTTGTATATATATTTTTTAAAGAATAATACTATAAGAAATTCATAGTGCACTTGTGAAAGGGGGAGTTTGTGTGTGGTTGATTCTGTTGATTCTGTTTATTTTTCCCTTATTTCTGTTGCTTGAAGTGCAATGATTTGAATTTGTTTTTTTCTTTTTTTTTGTTAATTTATGATTTGAACTGATATAAGCTGTAAAAATCTGCAAAAAATCTTTATTTTACATCTTGTTGTCACTTAATCCTTTATACTGTTTGGTACGCTGGTGTTGAGGTATTTTCTTTTTGGGGAAGAACTGGCAATATTTTTAGACTATGTATGAAAAAAAATGGAGTGGACAGATGGTCAAAGGTCATATTTGCAAAGAATTCTTTTTTTCTTTTGCCAAACGACAATTTCTTGTACAGAATTTTTGCTAATGTTGCCTTTGGTACAGTGATGCATCAACGGTAGCTAACGGCTAGTGGTACTTTGTTTTGTGGGATTATCTATTGCCAAAAATTGAGCGCCGTTCAAAGGAACCGTGTACATCATTCTTGAAGAACACTACTTAAGGGCTTGCTGTTGGTTCAGTTACATTTGGGAGACTTGAACGATCTTAGCTGTGACTTTACCACATTGAGAAGAATAATACAGCTTATAATAAAAAAAATCATTTGAATAATTCTTTTAAATGTTGGTTATACCATATGATTGAAAACAATAATTGTAATTTTGAGTTTATAGTAAAGCAAATGTGGAAAAAAAATAATGCTTTGTTGTTCTTTCACCATCAACTGATTTTTTTTCCAGAAATAGTTAAGTCAAAGAAACTTCCAGATGGTTTTCTGGACATACATTTCTCTCTGTTGTCAACTTAAACGTAACTTGCGTGACTTAGCAAATAATTAATGGACGTCGCAGGCAAGTAGATCAGATCTTTGTATGTTTCCAGTTTTAAGTGTTTACTTATTGTCACTAAGTTAAGAGTCGTTTATGCTAAACGCTATAGGTATGGCTCTGAGCCATTTCATTATGTGGTTTTCGTAGACCTTGGGGATGCGTTTTCATTGTACAAAACAGAGCATTACCAACGGAAATTGCAGGGGGCGGTGTGGCGTAGTATACCTTAAGACTAACTGCAAGAAGAAGTCATGGAACGAACAACGCGCTGTATTTGATTGTTGTTGTTGTTGTTGTTGTTGTTGTTGTTGTCTCTGTTTGGATTGTCCTGACCTCGTACATGGTCGACATATTGTTATTGTCTGAGAATCTGACGGTATCCCGGAACGAAGCTCTGAGTTTAGCACTGTCCTCTAGTGGACATACTGACATACAAACGGATAGTGACATTTAAAACGGACCTACCTTTTTACGTACGTCAAGGAAGCATAAATTAGTATTTGGACACAATTGTCTCTCGTGGCCTGGTTGAACAGGCACTAATTAAGTCTGTGTAGATGTTCTCGTTGAACAGGCACTAATTAAGTCTGTGTACAGTTTTTTTGTTTGTTTTTTTGCCCTTGTTATGGTTGAAAACATCTTACATTGACGTTTACGTTCTATACGTGACTTAGCACCACGTAAAACGTGTACTTTGGTATTTTGCTTTTTTTCCCTCAGAATTTCACAACACCTCTGCAGCAAGGCAAAAGCATCAACCACAGTGCCACCCTGTGGTGAAATAACAACACTACAATTACTTATATGAATATTTAGGTAGTTTAGGTGTATACGTATACATACTACCTAATCTAAGTATCCTGTGGCAGTAACATCACCTCACATTGATATCCTGGTTGCATTTTAATTTATGACCATTTTTATTTAAGTTACTGAGTTTTCCATTATGAAAAATAAAATATGGTTGCTTGAAACTTCAGTTATATATACACATTTAAAAGTCTTTTTGCCTTCATATTTGTCTGAATGGTAAATCCCATAGATGTCAGTTATCTAGATTTTTGATCAAGGAAAAGCCAAAGTCAATATTTCTTAACTTTAATAATCATATATATGACAACAGAAATATTTATATATAAACAGGAAGCAGAGAGGAACGTCGTGGTACTGTACGAAGCAGAACAGAAAAGCAACCAAAACAAATTGTGGAAATTTTTTTGTTTACTTTAAAAGTTAAAAATAAAAAGTTACAATAAATACCTCAATACATTTAGGCATGCGGATATAATCTTAATGATAAAATTGTCATTGCAGTTTTATTTATTTTTTTAAATGACTCTTTGTGAAGACAAATCTTCGTTATTGCACAATGTGATGGGTTCGTCCTCAGTCACATGCATAAGGTCATAAAGGTCAAACTTAGATGAAATTTAAACCTGCAAGTCATTGGTTAGAAAAAGGATAAAAAAGCAAAGTCAATTCTAGTGAGAGAAGTATGGGGTATTAAAGTAGCATTTATAATACCAGCTGACATCTGTGGTACAAGAAGAGACATTTAAATCACACAGTTTGAGACAGAATGATGCTGCATGATGTGTTCAGTGTCACACTTGGCAGCTGAGACCATACATTTTACAGTAATTTAGCTTTAAGAGACACATATCGCACCCCTTGCTTTTTCGTTGAGTAGAATAAGAAAAGTGAATATTGTTCCGATTATATAAAAGCACGACTCATCTGACCAATTGGCTCTGCATGAAGACTGGAACGGACTGTAAAGGTCTGGTGTCTCCACGTGTGTCAGGGAACTGTGGCCTTACTGGGCTACTAGGATTTTGTTTGCTTAAGAGACATAGCTGTAAAAATCCAAATTGCAGACTCAGCAAATGTGACATCAAAATTGAAAAAACAAACAAACAAACAAACAACCCTGACCTGTACCTCTGGAGTCTCATGTAACTTTTGCAAAACAGTATAATTTTTTCCATAATGCTCCAGTACAGTAAACACTGGCTTAAAATTGCAAACACACACAAACAAAAACAAACTCAAGCATGAATGGCATAAGGTCATTAAAAAAACAACAATGAGGCGATGGAAACATTGAAGAACAACTCTCAGATGGAAAAACAACAAAGCAAATTATCATAAATATTTAACAGGTTTCAAACGTATTTAAATGTGACAACAAGGGCTTTTTAATTGCAGTGCGTCACGTTGGCTGACATTAGATGTAGATGTTAACCAGCTTGTCAGGTCTTTCAAATGTAATTAAAAAAGATCAAGTAATTTATAAATTACGGACGGAAATAACTGACACCGACATCGTTCGAAAATTGGATGAAACACAACAGACGAAGATAAGGAGCTAGGTGTAACTTCTAAAAGAATAAAATAAAATAAAAAATATCGATAATCAATGCATATGTCTTCGAGTCGGATACAGGGTCAGTGAACACAGCATGCGGGGCACACGTCATCGCAATAATGTTGGATGACTGACAGGTGTCGGTCTTTGCGAGTGCGATTTTAAAAAAAGGGTTAATGTCGAATGCCGTTTGATTTTTTTGTGTAAACGTGAACAACTGTTGGAGTCAACAGGACCACAGGGCGACACAGACAACGTTATGTGACCATCTTTTGGGTGAGTGAACAAACAAAAACTAATAGCAAAGATGCTAATACCAAAAGCGACAGTTTGTCGAGTAATTTGTCATTGCTGCTGTCGAGGTGTGGACTGTCCTAAACTCTGTAACTAAAATAATATGTAAATCTAATTTTCGGAGGTTGTTAATGTATTATTCCTTTTGTATTTTAAGGCAACTGGGAAAATAAAAAAATAAAACAAACTAAGAAACCCAACCCAAAAAAACAATCGTGATAACCGTTGTTCTATCTATCTCAATTGGTGCGTCATAGCATTATAGCACAATAGCCCCCTTAAAAATTTAAATGGCTTCCTAGAGAGAAAATGTTACATTCACTGGCCTAAAAAGTTTAAAACCAACTATTTAAAAAAAAAAAAAAACCCAACAAACAGTAAAAATCCCTTTCTTTAACATGGGGTGGACCCTGTGTTTTCAGGGTTTGCACCATGTAAGTGTTTTGCTTCCTCTCGCCTTAGTCTGTTTTCAGATGCTGTAATTCAGTTTCATGTTTATCATTATTGGTTTATACAAACATTGAACGTTAAAGGTAGCCATTTTACAAAGTTCTAATCTCTGCTCACACAACTATGAATCATTAAATGCTAGAGAAGCACACATACATTTACATTTGTTTACCAAATTGAATGACACCCTTCTTTAAGGACAGTTTCTTACATTGTGTATGTTACTTAAAAAAATAACTTATAAAATTTATCAAGACTAATGTTATTGAATGACAGCTAATCATATTTTTTTTTTACAAATTCAAAAAGTGACAATAAAAAAATCCCAATACAGATTTGGTGTTCAGAGCATCTTAAAGGTGGAAGAATCCAAATGTCACGTGTAAATAGTTATTATAAATAAATATAAATAATTGTATCTATTAGCAGTGCTTGTTTTATGTTCTAGAGATTTGTCTTAATCTCTTAAAGCAAATGTGTATTTATTCCTATATTTCTTATACAACTAAACTGTGATTTTACAAACTTTTTCATTTATCGCTGTCATTTCTGCTCCGATCTGCAATGGTGAAAGAATATGAAAGAGGTTATGCCATGAACCATCTGTTTAAAATGGTCTTTTTGGCCCGTGTGTGTGGATTTCCTTTTTGATAGAAGATGTGAATTTATTTTATTATTTATATAAAGATGATGGCAGTTATTGAACACATAACTACCAATATAATTTACGGGCCAGAAGTCAGTGAATTAAAGGCAGTGTCTGAAGTGTTATATGGCTGATAATAATATGATGGCATTGCAGGGACTAGTTCATACCTAACCTCAAACTCTTGTTATAATATTGTTTAAATTAGCATATATTGAGTTAGAAATGTGGTGTAAAAAATATAGCATTGATAGTTGAACTGGAGGATTGGCTGGTTTTCTTTTTAGGGACTTTAACATCAGCTTATCACCATAGACAGTTTTGTTTTAAATACATCTTTAGAAAAAACTTCTTTATATATCACTTTAGATCCTAATTTACCTAATGTGCACCTCTCTCTCTGTATGTCTTCTATATGCATGTAAAACATTAGAATGCTGAAAGAAAGTATCCAAAGCTCCAAATGTGCAGATCAGTGCTGGTGCTGGTTCCATAAGAAAAAGAAAAATGAAACGAAAACTAATGTCCGCACCAATCAGCACTGATAGGTCCAAGAAGTAATGGAACAGTTTTAAGAAAATAAAAAAAACAAGATTTATAAAATACTTCTACTGCTACCCATGAATGACATATGGCATACAAATGTCTGGTCAGCATTGGGCACAACAGCTGGACAACACATCCGCCACCACAGATGCAAATAGGAAAAAAGAAGTAAACCCAATAATAGTAGTCTGGCTGTTTCCTAAAAATCTTGTACCACTTCATGTGATCATTTGTGTGATTTAAGTTGAAGTAAACAAATTTTATACACTGAGGTCCAAAATAAGACTTGTGCAAAAGTTTTAGGGGAGTGTACACATTTTACTGTATCCCCCTTTTTTGCAATTTTCTTTTTCTACTGTAGTAAACCAGAAGAGCTTACTCAGTAACAATAATTGTTTTTCTTACAGTCTAGAGTATAAGTTTAGATGTGATTTTTAGCCCTGTTCCTAAAATTGGTTATAACTGGGGTCACATCCCCCTAGAAACAAGTGGCTGAGCAGGTCCAGCATTCTTTCTGCCCAACGATCAAAGGCATGGCCATTGGATAACACATGGTTTGTAGCTTGGTCCGTGAACCAGATCTTTTCTTTTTCTAGAAAATAAACAATGTTCCATCTGCAGATTGGCAAGGATACATCTGCCTGAAACTTTTGCACAGTTCTCCATGTCAAATCAGAAGTAGATCAGCAACTGAACTGTAGTATACAAGAATAAAACTATTTTATCTGTTGACCTTGATTTATACAGCAGTTTACAAACTGTAGAAAGTTCTGGTGATTCCATTAGGTGTAAATGTAACTTTTGTTGGCAATGACACGACGTGATCTGTTTTTCCTTGTGTTCCTGTTGGTAGTCATATTTATCAGTAAGGCTGTGTCTCCAGCATTTGTCAGTACTGGTACCTTGTCTGGATTGTTTTAAGGAATGATTTATTCATGTGAATGACGATCACCCACTGCTCTGTTTAAATGTACTGAGAGTCTGAACCCTTAATGTGTCAGTGAAAGTGAGAGGAAAACAAAATCAAATACTCACTTCTACAAACAAACCCATCACAGCAAGCTACAGTACAGTACGGCTCCAATCATGTGGATGGATTCAGTTAGAGGTTCTCTCCTCCCCGAGAATGCAGCAGCAGCAACATGAAAAATAAAATAAAATCAGTGGTCTGTTTTTAAAAACACACACAAATGTTTAAAAAAGACTGTCTTTTCTATATAAATCAAGGGTCTTTGTTCAAATTGCACCTAGTTCTCACCAGGTGTTCGTATGACTTATCTCATGACATAATGTCTCATCATTCTGGCTCATGGCCCTAATTAAAAAAAGAATAATCTTCCATTAAACTAGTTTTCCCAGTCAGTGCATGGAAGGCCTTCATCCTCTGACTCAGACTCTGGGGAGGCCTCCTTGATTCTCCTCAGGGCCTCGTGGATGCTGCGGGTCAGAGCGTCAGTGGAGTGAGGGAAGCTCTTGCTGTTACGTTGCTGTTGCTCAGGGTGAGTTCGCACCTTCCTCAACCTGACACCCTGTCTAATCTGAGCCAAGATGTTGTTGGTGTCGTCATCAGGGTCAGGGGCCAGGACACGCAGCTCAGCCTTTCTCAGGTGGAAGCTGCCACGTTTGAGGGAAGCCAGGACTTCATCCATGGGGGAGCTCGCTGCAAACATAGGCACAAGACTGTCAGTCTGACAAGGAAGACATGCTCTTTCATATGCTTTCTGTTGCAGTACCTAATGGGTTAGGAACAGGTTGGGCAAGTAAAAAAAACTTAGAGCTTTAAGTTTTGTTTTTTTAAGTTGTGAATACATAATTTTGAGCAGTTGCTCCCTCACCTCTCCTCCACTGTGTGGAGTCCAGTGAGGCTGTCTTTCTCAGCTTCTTCCTTGCTGTCAGCAACTGGCTGCTGTCAAAGAATCGAGGCGAAAATGGAGCGAGAGGCAGTGGCGGAGATTCAGATTCACATGTGAGCTGTCTCACAGGGCTCCCAGTGGGCTCCTGCCCCCTAAACTCACCCTGGCTTTGGTCCTCTAGAGAAGGAGGTGGTGGTGGAGGAAGTGGGGGTGGAGGGGGAGGAGGTGGGGGCGCTGTCAAAAGAGCAGATGGGGAAGCTGTGAGAGGAGGCAGCGAGAGGAAGGGAGGCGAGGAGGTGAGATTTTCAAGGTCAGCCATTGGCAAAGAAATGCTGTCGCAGCAATAAAAGTCAGTTGGAGGAGGAGGAGGAGCAGACAGCTGGGGGATGTCCGAGGTACAGTCGGTCTGAACGCTGGCGGCTTGCGTGCTGGGCTGCTGTCCCACTTTTTTCCGACTGTGAGTCTGATTCAGACGCAGACGGCTGGACTTGAGGGTCACCTGGCCCGGGTAACGCTGTGTGTGGGAGGAAATGGGGCACAAAGATTATTCGGATATTTTATTATTCAGATAAACTGCTGCTGTTGAACTTAATGTTGTCAATATTTTCACCTGTTTGAGGCTGCGGAGTCTGTCCAGAGTCCTTTGCCTTTCCTGGCTCACTCTAGCATTTTGTTTGGCTTCATCCTCTTCTCTAGTCTCTGCTTCCTTTACAAGCAAAGAAAATGTCATTGTAGTGGTTACAGTCTTTTACTATTTACTGTGATCCAGAGCTGCTAGCATAGCAACTATGCTAAGACCTTCAAAGCAATAACAAAGTTAGACAAGAAAACCTGGCTCTGTTCGGCAGATCACGTGAATAGAGGATTGGATTTTAAGTTTCTGATTAGTTTCCTCGTTCTGGTTCCTTACTCTTATAACCTTGCTACTGTTACAAATAGCAAGCTTAAAGTTTTCTTGGCACACATAAAGTACTCCCAAGCCAGTAACATAGTATTGGCTCGAGCTTGACAAGTGCATCTCTGGTAAAAACTGTTGCTTAATGTGTCAGACCTTCAAGCCCTAAGTTCAGATCGAGGTCATCTGCTGAGATAATAGATAATAGTTCTATGTTCTGATAAGTACATATTTTAGCTTTATTTAGGAGCGTTCACAGACTTGGCATCAAAAATTATAAAAGAAGGGACCGTTTGTAGGAAGGACCTTTAAGACTTATTGGAATTTTAAGTGACAAGCTCTTATCAGCACTTCTTATCCAAACAGTACCAACCCACCTTCTACACAACTTCAAAAAGTAGCTGTTTTGTTCATTTATCAGATGAGTCCATATAAGGTTTGTAAGCCTTACCTGTGTCAGTGCTTGAGGAGAACTGCAGTCAGCTAGGCTGCCTTGGCGCTGCTGCAGCTTCTGATTGTGGTTGACGATACAGATTTCCTATGAAAGACAGAAAGAAGGTAATTAGTGACACATTCACTAATAAAAATTGATCAACCCTTCTGATTGGCTGTGATGTGTCTGTACTTGCCTTCTTGTTTTTGAGGTAGACTTTCTTGGCAGTGATGCGACCTCTGCGTGCCTCCAGGTGCCGTGTCCTCTGTCGCAGGACAATCAGTTCATCATCTCTGAGAGGAGGGGGTGGAGCTGCGGGGTCTTCTTCTCCATTCATGGCATCTGGAGTTTCATAGGCATCGTAGTAAACAACTTCATCCTGGCACTCTGGTGACCAAAAAGAAGTTTGTAAACTTCTGTTTTTTTAGAGCATCAGAGAGAAACATTTAATATCAAAATAACTATGAAAAATACTGATACACTGCACTGTCTCACACCCAGGCTCACACATACTCACCTGTCATCGTACGGCGCAGACTCTGCAGCTGAGCAGTGAGCAGCAGCTCCTCGCAGCTTAACACCTCAGCCTGGATGTCATACAGCTGCAGCTGTAATTCGTAGTACAGCTCCTCCAACTGGTCTAGACGCAGCATAGCATCCTCTCCACCCTGTAGGGTCTGCATCTGAAACAAAATACCCACACATAGGTCCATCAGCCATTCCATTAGCTAAACAGATTTAATTAAATATGTCCATTTGTTTTACTCTTTGCTGACTGATAGGTAAAACTTTTTTCTAACAAGTTTTTCTATCTGTCTCACATGATGCACTGGCCTTTAAAGTAGCTTATAAATTATATCCAGACCTTTAGAAAAATAACAAGCACACTCAATTATCTTACCTCTTCTTTGAGGCCATGTTTCCTCTGTTCCAGGCAGATCTCTTTGGCTCTCATCATCTGCAGAGTTTCTCTTGAGACTGCGTGCTGCAGCCGCTCCATTCGTTGTACAGCTGCTCTCCATGTCGACTTGCCAAACTTCTTCTGGTCAGCACGCATACGATCATACAGAGCTGCACCATGTACACAGTGTTAATGGCTAATATGGGTAACAGCAGCTGCATTACCAATTGTTGTTCTAAAGTAGAGATTTGTAATGCATGGATACAATGATGTGAAGTGAACGGCTCCCCAGGTGCTCAAGTCATGTAGAGCCGGCTTTACTAATGTAATGATGGGTCATTTGTGAAGTAAACGGCTCCCCAGGAGCTCAAGTCATGTAGAGCCGGCTTTACTTAAATCCTACACAGACACAAGAACTGCCCCTTCATCAGTGCAATTAGAAAAATAAGAAGGCAGATGTTTAGTGCTTTATAAATATGTAATTCTTTCTATTTTAAATCACAATTTTACATTATTTTTTGTTAAACAAATTAATATGATTAACAAAAAACCCAAGGACCCTTTGGGCACCAAAAGAGTCATCTCTTTTTAAGGGAGCCTTAGAGCCACCAGTTAGACTTTTCTTACTAAGTTAGACTTTTCTTACGTTTTTTTTCTGTCTTAAAAAATAGTGGCAGTTAGACTTTTCTTACTGGTCTGTAAAAAATTGATGTTTTTTTTCTGTCTTAAAAAATAGTGGCTTCTTTGCATACATTAAAATTAAAAGATGTGCTTTAAGATGCATTGAAATATCTTAATGTAAATTAGTGGTCCAATATTACAAACATCTGACTGTAAAACCAGTAGTGTTGAATGCCTACACAGAAAACAGATGATGTTCTTTTTTTTTTTAAAAGTACAACAAAGTACCTTTTTCTTCCATTGTTGTTCATTGCTACTTCAACCTACTGTCTTTGTTTCATTTCTGAGACATGGGTAACTTTTTCTCTTCTTATTCATCTTATTCTCTGTCTATACAAGGGGTCGGCAACATGTGGATGAATCAAACTGACTATTATAAAGATAGAAAATAACAGATACAGTAGGATGAGGCTGTAATTTTCTTTTTTACAAAAACTAGGTTTATGTTAATTTTACACGTCACACTTTCAACTTGCTTGCTAACAGCAAACTGACTGTAATTTCACTGTCTGCTCGCATAAAATCTGGTCTGAAGTGAGCAAAGCTGACCTCAGATCGCTGTCAATAATACCAGTAAATGTGTCATATCAAACACTGAATTATACTGTGTTTGAATTGATGGTCTTGTGTTGTCTTTCTGTGGTACAACAGATTTAGCAGCAATAAATGCTTGATGGCTTTCTTTTTCTACTATATAAATCTGTAGTATAGCTACAGTACCGTCATGTACTCTATTAGTATTGTAACTCTTACATCCATCAATTTCACAGTATGCAGTTAATGGCTTGTTGTATCTCATAAATGAACCTTAGACTACAGATAAACCCTGTTGGTATAGTAGCATGATAACAGTGGTCTCATCTGCTCAGCTAGAAGATTAAGTTTGTTGACCAAAATACTGCTAAATGCAGTTATTTAATTTTGCTATTAACATTACTTTGCATGATCACTGTGATCTGAATAATTACAATAACGACATGGTTATTAGCTAGTTACTTTTGATTACGTTTATCTTCTAAAATATACAGTGATTTTGGCCTAGTACCTCTGACTGTTGGCTGACTTCTTTCATAGTACTATCGTAGTAGAGGAATGTAAATGTATGCAAAAATATTAAAGGTACATATTATTATTCAAATGCATATGGATCGGTTGGATTTTAAGTTGCATAAGGTCCAGCTTTAATAAATAATAAAATCAAACAAAATGAAAAATGCAGCCAGTGATGTTAACATTGTTTAAAAATGGCGTCAATGACGTTGTTTGAAAATGTTGCATATTCCATGTCCACATCACCGACCTCCCTGCCTGTCAATTTGTTTTATTCTGTTCTCTGTTACTACCCGCAATGTCCAGTAGATGGCGAACCGCTTGCAGTTAGTGGTGCTCAAAAACATGAATGTTCGAGGTAATGTGTACAGTAACACAAGCACACTGAGCTGGTAGGGTTTTTTTCTATAAAAAAAACACATGTTGCAGTAATACTGTACAGTAATACTGATATTTTTTACCCCTTTTTGTAAATCACATCGTGGTTCTTTACAGCTTCCCGGCTCCTGTCAGGCCAAGTGAGAATCAGGGTAAAAACAGTGCCACGTGGAGAGCTCTGTCCTGGAAGTTTACTGAGAAATACAACTCCCAGGAACATAGAGAACACAGAGTCATCTCCCTGTGAGGGGCCTCATGAACAACCCACCGTTTATATTTCTACTCTGATGTAAAACAGATGTGAATAGGTGCTTAAAAACAAACAAGGCCATAGTAATCACCAACAAACCTCAAAAACCTTGACTTATGTTGGGCAGGATATTCACTGCTCTGCTCTGGGAGTGTGCGTCTGCACGTGAGGCACAGGAACAGAAAGGGGATTTTTTTTTTGGAGGAGCGAAGCTGGAAATGAGTGGAGGAGGAGGTTACATCAGAGACAGACAGAAAGCCAAAGGAAAGAAATACTGAAGAAAATTGTAGAAAATTAACTTGTAGGCATGATCTAACTATTGAGACATCCTTCTGCAGGGACTACATGTACATTAGCACAACAGTTAGAGTGCTGTGAAAACACTGATAAGGAGTGGAGAGATACCAGGACTGAGTAAATGCAGGCTTCATCAGCGTTGGTCTAATCTCTGACGTCAAACGCATCAAGACCAGCTCTCGTACATTAGGTGACAAGTGGCCTGTAGTGACATCAGACACCATCATGTTGAAATGCCTTGAAACAGATTGGGTTTAATGTGCACACAAGCGAATGTCATCGCGCAACTCAAAAAACAGTAATGATGTTCAAGTCACATTTAGGTTTTCAGCTGTTGAAGTTAAAGTATGCTTTTTCTTTTATGAAAGTCTTTATAAAAGAAATTCAATAACATTTTGGGTAGCTGTGGAAACTACTGTAATTATTTGGAGTGTATGATCAACTTACAACCACCATGTCCACTGTTGGGAGTTGATTTAGGACAATAAATCTCTATATGGTCTAGACAAGTGGTCCCCAAACCTCCGGGCCACGGCCAGCAACGGTCCATTGGTCAATTGGTAACGGGCCGCACAGAAAGAATGCATAACTAATTATTTCCATTTTATTTATTATCTGATCCTAAAAGATGTTTCATTTTGAAAAATTACCAGATTCAGTCCACCGCATCCGTCTGTGACTCACATTTGATACATGTCAAGATGCTTGCCTTGGTCACATGTCTTAACTTAACCTTCTGAAAAGGTCTGCTCTGGCCGCTTACACATAATACATTACCACTAAATTAAAACCTCCAAGCTAGCAAAATGTGCCAGTTCCTGTTACTTTGTTCAGTGTATACTGTAGAAAATTCGCTATACTAGGAGTAAAAAAAACATCTTTCATGGGGATGAAGCAAAACTGAACATAATAAAATATAAATGACTCCCAACAGCTCATCTGCAGGATCTTGGTTTTAAAAGGTTACTTACACTAATCTGACCCATCTGCTCTTCACACACTTGTGGTGCAAACAATGTAAGCACCAGTCATTCATCTCTACTCATCTAAGACGGACTATAGAGGCATGAGGTCATTGAAGGTCAATTGTAGACACACATCCCTTTGCTTTTGTGTTGACCTCTGTAGCAACTTGAGATGCTAATGTTTTGTTAATGTTAAAATGTTTGTAAACAGGAGTAAGAATAGCCCAGCACCTGCTTTCAAATGATCCAACCATTTGTGAATTTATTTATATATATGTCTGGCAGCAGACTCTAAACAACTTCCTTTTAGCACCTCTGGCTAACAGCTTCTGGTGACATAACACAGATGCAACAGATTTGCAGGAAATAGGAGCTAGCTGAGTTCACGTAGCTAAGTGATTAGCGTATGGGTGCAGTCGCAGTAGCCCTTATCTCATTTGGTTAAAAAAAGCCTGTTTTTGTCAGTAACACTATGAGACACTACACAATTATCAGTCAGCAGCAGCAACTAACAGACTGTGGCAGCAGTCACCTTTTTGTACCAAGAACCAGTCGGCCGGTATCAACAGTTAAGGCGGACTGGTAATACCGGGCCATCATTGAAGGATCATTAAATTTTCAAAATAAAACATCTTTTAGACTTTGTTCTGTAGTATCGGAGTCTGAATGATGTACTGTTTTGAAACATTGCCAGTTTATAGCCTCTGCGTGTTTGCTCGGAGTCTGTGCTCATTTCTTCTCCTACATCATACTTACTATTACTAAACTGTTTTATGAGTGAAAAGTGAGTTTTCCAATGGTCTTATTGATCTGTTAAGGGTAAAACAATAGTCACTTCATAGCTGTTAGAAATTTGGTTACTTTTCTTAGTGTTTTCTCTCTTTTCAGGAAATCAGTATATATTTTCAGGAAATCAGTATATATTTTTTAAAGAACACTGATTTTGACTAATGGCATGTTTTACTGTTTAATACTATTAGTTCAAATATTTTATATATAAAAATCATGTTTTTGCTGATTTAGACTTGGTTCTTTTTCATTTTTAAGGAGGCGCCAACAACTCCCAGCTTTGGATAAGACTGACCATTAGTGACTTAAGTTATTTATTCCATATTGATAATATTTTCTATTTTGTTTGAAAATTAGAGGGGGCTCTATATTTTTGTCACTTGTTTTTAATCCAATTATCTGGGAAAACCTTTGTTAGCTTTAGTGAATCAAAATAACAGATAAAGACACCATGGCTCTGTTGAAGTGCTCCACTCAGTCACCCTGACAACTGTTGCCACGTGATAGCCCAGAAGCTGTGAAACAGTACCTGGAGCTCACCTTCTTCTGGCACAGAAGAGAAACCACATTTCTAATTCATGACAGGACCCTGACCCTCCAGGCAACAGGACCCTACCACTGCACTCTACTGACATGTAATAGGGCTGTCCCACAATGCAGCATTCAACTGAATGCTCTGCACCCTTTGTTAATGAGTCAGTCTGAGGCTCATTCATTCTTCTGCCCACCTGCTGTGTCATTCACCTGTTCAGTTGGACTAAGGCGTCAGAGTTGCACCTTCACTAATTATTTATCCTGGGGTTCCTGGGAATAGGTTTTACTCATTCCTGGTGTTGGAACTAAATTGTGAAGACTAAAAGGTTCAACTAAAGAAAATAGCCTAAATAAATGTCTCAGTTGTCCAGTGTTTGCACCAGGTTTGTGTTTGTGACCTTTTGATAAAGAAGAGGTGTGGCAGGTCAAAGCAACATTTGCTGTGATATTATTTTGTACTTTCTTTGACCGTAAAGCCTCATTAATGTCCATCATTAAAACTCTCTCAGAAGGTATATGGTATTACTGTGATTAAAAAAAAAAGTAACTTTGAGATTGTTTCTTTTTTTTCTGCATCATGGACATCGGCCTTTACTTAAAGAAGATTCTCTTTTGATCAAGCAGTCCTTTCAGTTGTCTTTCTGAAGTTGTCTTGATGTGTGTTACAGCTATGATGAAACACATCAGCAGTGGCTGTTAATTATTTAGTACAGTAACTGTAACAGACAGACTATAATAGTTAGTCTGCACCAGTCCTGTGGTAGCAGGCCACTGCTGCTTATTGTGCATGGTGGAAACTCTGGAAGAACTCTTCGGCTTATGTTACACATAGTATTTATTTAACCCAGGGCAGGATTTTTCAGGTCAGAAACAGCGTTAACCTCAGATGACTTGATGAACATCATGTTTGTGTAAATAATGTTCTGCTTCCGTTGCTCGAACAGAGGAACCCAGCTGACCAGTTTGTTGCTGTTACATGATAGCATCAAACCGATGAAACCCTACAAAAACATTGCTTGTATAAAAAAAACATGAAATTCAAATACTAGGATGTTTTCTTTTACAGTTTTAACACTGAAAACTGAAAAATATTTGCACACCTTAGATTGTTACACATGAACCCTATTTTTTAGGTTAATGTAACGGTTCTTATCAGCCTGGGACACCTCTGTGGCAGGTGTGTATTCAAACTTAGAGTCTTGATCAGCAGTACTTATTCTAACACTCTCACATTGTTTTCATAAATTTCCCTCTGCCACATCATCACACACCATGCAAACTGAATGTAAATCCTGGAGTGATCTCTACACTTTCTTTGTCCTTACACCTTCCTTAAAGTGGAGTGAAACCTCTGTTTGATTCCCTGACTCATCAGTTGAGAAAACCAACCCGCCTCTGCTGACATGAATAGTTTATTTGCATACAGCTTTGTTTTCAGCCGTTGAGTTACCCTGAGGGGAGCAGGTGGTGAAGCTCCAAGCCTTGAATCAGAGATTCCCAGGTAAATGTGTGTTACCCAGAGTTTTTACCATATCTTGAATCAGAGATTCCCAGGTAAAACAGTGATGTGTGTTACCCAGAGTTTTTACCATAACGTAATGATGACCTTAGATAGTAGGAAGGAAATATCTTCTGTTGGGATTACAAAATAATAACTAAGCTGTATCAAGTATCAGCACATTTTAGGAAAACATGCTGCAAGTAATTTAGTCCAATTTCTAAACATAGGTCTAGATCTAAGCAAGAAATCACATTCCGTCATCATACACACCCATAAACACACCCACACAGTCCATTTTTTTAGTAAGTTAGACAATGCTGGATCATCAAGCTGTGTAAGGAATGTGGGTCAGAGAGGAGAGAGTGCTCACAGTCCAACAGTGAGTGAAAAACTGTGAGTGTCGGAGTGAGACAAAAAGATAGAGACAGGAGAGACTAAAAAGCAACACTATGGGACATTATAGCTTCTGACTACAAAAAGCCAACACAGATTTTGACCACAAATCCTAGTGTAAATATCAGTAGCACAATTTAAAGTTCCTTACTGATACAATCCATGTGTAAAAAAACAATAAAACCCCCAACATATTTCAATATATAGCACGACACATTCCTGATTCTCAACAAAACCCCAACATATTTCAACATATAGCACGACACATTCCTGATTCTCATACCGTATGTGGCATTTTATCCCTCTGCTGTCAGATTTATCACCAATTAAATTTGAAGAAAAGTTCTTCATTAGGTCACTTCTGACCGTTCATTAAAAGTGAAGAAACAGAGTAGAGCTTGACCTATTGACCTAGAATCGTCTGTAAACCTGTGGAATATGTAGAGGATGAGTTCAAATCACCTTGCTGATTTTCTTCCTTTTATTAAGCCTCAAATGGACCAAAACAACAAAGATGGAGAGGAGAGAGAGTGTGGGAAATAAAAGAGTGTGCTGAGACAGCAGAATCACTGAGTGGTTTAGTGGCTGCTGTAATAATACTTATGCTTGTTGTTAAGCCGCTCTGGGCAGAGGAAAAAAGCCTCCTAGGCTGATCCCCTACCTCCCACAGCACAGCTACAGAGTCCCACAGATGGGCTTCTATGCCGTGGCCGCACAATGTAACCAGAGCAACCAACACTAATGCCATTACAGTGGGCTTAAAGGCAGAGACCACTGCAGGACTTTATCACCGAGCGGATCAAGACTGATGTCTCAGCACTTACCGTGAAAGACAGGCCAGTACCACAGTAAAGCAGCATCCCCGTACCAGTTAGTGTGCTTCAGACCAGAGCAGTTCACTGACTGTAGTAAAGTGTAAACCTTCTTAAATCAAGCTCTAGCAGATGGCGCTGAGTGCATGCGTGTGTGTGTGTGTGTGCGTGTGTGTGTGTAGGAGCATGTTACCTTAATCTGCTGTCTGCGCAGCATTGCCAGCTCCCTCATGTCTCTGAACGGTTGCAGCAGGTAGTGGTACAGCTGAGTTGTGGCCTCCAGCAGTTCTCCGTACGCCTCGTCCTCCTCTGGGTACACCTGCAGCAGATCCACCATGCTGTCCAGGGCTTTGTGTTTGTCCAACACCTGGGACATGCCACACATAATGAAGGCTCAGCCAAGACATAAAACAGTCAAAGACCCACTGAAAGATGGCTTTATAAGATAAGATAAGATAGCCTTACAGCTTATAGTCATTTTTTTTCACTCCTATAATGATGATGATGAAGGTTTTGCAAGGGATTTTAGGACATTGTTTTAATCATTTTGGGATTTGGAATTTGACTTTCTATTAATATGGCCTTTTCACTCTATGACATAGTTTCCTGTCTTTGGCTTGTGAACAACAGCAACACAATTACCTTCATCTAATTGACCAAACTGGTCATTAACTAATTGCAAAAATATAACTGTAATCATCAGGTTAATCTACCATGAAAGTAATTGTCAGTAGCAGTTGTCATAAAGCAGATGATCAATCCTCATGCAGGTAGTAGTGGTAAAATGGGTGGAGCTACACACAGTATGGGGGCAAGATAATTCTGATCATTATCATTGCAATGCCACAAAGCATGTTAAATTGCAGTTGCTCATTTTGAAACACATATCCAGATTTTTTGTTATCATAAACATTTTTGTAACTTAAGGAAAAGGCAGACACAGAATTATATGCACCATAAAGCCTGACCTAGATTTAGCATAAAATGTAACATTTAGAGGTCCAAACAGAACAACCTTTAAAGATCTCATGTAAATAAATCAAAGTTAATCTAATGAGAATAGTAAAGAGTGTAAAAAGCACCAGGTGTGTGGTCAGAGATGATCCTATAAATGACACTGTATGAGCAGAGAACAATCAGAATATATTGGCTGAATCATACCATGTGTCAGCTCACCACAAACTATTCATTGTTCCAGTGACAAATGCAGTCATTGTTCACACAAACACAATTCAACGTTGCACTTTCAGTAACCACTAGGTCCAATTTGCGCAGTACAATACACCTACTTTACTCCTGCTTCATATAATATTGAAATGTGCCACCACCCGACCATCAAGCCAAGCAGTGAATAAAGTGCTCTTCTCTCTTTAGATATGAATGGACACTCTTATATTTACACAAGACTGCTTTTGCCAAAGCCCTCTATGTTGGGGACTAGGGTAGACACAGCTCAATTCAGCTCAAACACTGCTCCTACTGTTTACCTTGGGCCTGGGTTGCCATGGTTACCACTGACCAACTATGTGCCAAATCCCCTGTCCCTGCAGTTGCAGGCAGCCAGGAAAACCCCTGGTCCTAATGAGTCAATTCCTGTCCAGCTTCAGGAAAACAGTTCAATGCACCTGAACAACTTTAACTGAGATTAGTCAAGAACTGGATAACTTTAGAATGAAACGCCAAGATATTTTGTTTTAAACTTTTCTTTGACTTTCTTAACTCACTGTTAGCTTCTTTCTTCCCACTGGAAATGCACTGCTTAAGTAAATCTCACTGTTAGCTTCTTTCTTCTCACTGGAAATGCACTGCTTAAGTAAATCACATTATCGAGTACATGGATACAATTTTAAATATTCAAACAATGTGAGCTCGTTCTGCAGATGCTTCACCTTTATACTTAGCATATACATAGCATTAGCAGAGAGATTTTTACTATACAGTACATGACACCAGATTCTACTTCATCTAGCCCCAGCTTTATTTTTTTACTAAATCAGTTGCAGTGTGAACTTTTACACAGTAATAACCCATATCTGTTTTTTTATGAAGATCTGCGCAAATCCTTTTTTTCAAATCAGAACCAGGCCGCTTTCATATGTGATGTTAAATTTGAAACATACCCACAGATTTTAAAAATGTCATCTGCATTTCATCTGTTACGTATGTCATTAAAGTGTGTCACAATTTTGTTGCAGAAGAGGCAAGACATAGCGAAATCAAATGTAAAGCAGACACACTAGATGGTGGAAGTGGGGTGGTGAGAGAAAGGGTTGTGTCCCCAGTCGTGGTGAAACACAATGACTCTCAGGTTTAATTTTCAAATTTCACATTCAAATTGATACACACATGCTTAGATGTGTAGCATCTTTATTGACTTCTGTAAAGGTGTGTGTGACCATGTCTGCAACGACTGTTTAAACTAACAAAAAAGAGATTGCAGCAAAAACTCTAATTGGTCATTAAAACCCTGCAGTGTGAATGTAGTTTCAGCTGTTGACAATATAAACTCAGAACTTTCACACATGGAGTAATTATTACACAATTAACTGTTAGAGAATCTGGCCAGGAGCCAAAAGGGCTAATAAAATCAACTCTAGCTCTTTGGTCTACTGATTCTTGGTAAAAGAAAAAACAAAATGATATGCTCAAGTGCAACTTTCAATATGTTAATAACAAGTATAAAAAGGGATCTTGTGCTTCATTCAGATGTTAAAGTCTACAGATCTGACTACAAAGTGCACTGGGCACATACAATGATAATTACAGGATGCAGTAAGTGATTTGAGCTGCAGCGCAGCCCTATCATCACAACCAACTCTTCCAGTTTGTCTGCACTAAATCTGTTCTGTCTGCCTGGAGAACTTCTCTCTCCCCTTTCGGACTGAAATATCTCAGATAGAACACGCCTCGCCTTTGCTGCGAGAATACAATTCAGTGAAACAGAATGTCATTCAAGAGGTGTGATCAACAAAGGAAGTCTAAAAGCGAACACCCTATTATCTGTCCCACAAATTGCACTGCTGTGAATCAGCTGAACTCTCAACTGTAAACTCCACTCTTACAGCTGAGCAATGGGATTTCAGTACCAGTACTAGAACAATATGTAACCAGGATGTATTTTTTTATAACATCCGAACAGTATTGCAGTATTCTTTGGACGAAAAAAAAAAAATTTTCCACTGAAGTACTTTACATCCCTCTACCAGAACATTACCTTATGTTCTCCATCTTTGTGAAGTACATAGACCACTTGGAGAAAATCTACAAACGCATTCCCGTTAAAATACCCACATTTTTCATACAGCTGCCAGCAAGTTTTTTTCTGGTTATTATTTACTGTCACTTGGACCTATGTCCACTTATTTAATGTACTTTATCCTGTATTTTACTCAAAACATTGTTACCAGTCTGGTTATTATTTACTTTCACTTGTACCTATGTCCACTTATTTAATGTACTTGTATTTTACTCAAAACATTGTTACCAGAGGTTCACATGTTCAAATCCCATCCTCCACAGGGATGGGTTTGATGAGGAGTACAAATTGTATTGTGTGTATTTGTGTTTGTGCCTCCATTTACTACTAAGGCAGTATCAGCAAGTACACAAAAATAAAAACATTATTATATCTATCGAGTTTTAAAAAGAGAAAGAAACGAGACAACCCTAATCCACTTTTTTTATATAAACTAAAAATAAATTGTTTACTTCTACTTTTTTATCGAATGTCACCAATGCTACATTGTGTTAATATTAAGATTGAAATAAATGTGAAGGAAAAAACATCAAGAATCAAAGTACAACAAAATGAACACTTCAACAATGTGGCCCCTAAAATCTGTCTTATCAAAAACAAACTGAGAAGAAAGAAGAAAACATTCATTCATAATGAAATAAAGAGTAGGAAACCTAATGAGTGTTATCAGTTGGCGCAGAGTCACATAACAGTTGACACTAACATCAGGGCTGGTTAATCACACTGTTTAATATGATCCTCTCTTCTTGACAAAAGAGTTAAGGTGTCATTAGTTTTTATTATGTTGACATTACAAGTAGAGGACGACAGAGGAGAATGTAAGCACAGAACATCTACGTCTATTGACAGTTGGCTGTTTGTGTTTAACGACAAGCCTTAGATAAGGAAGAAAACTTGGCCTGTGGTCAATAATCCACACGTGGCTGCCCTACATCTGTTGACTGTTTTCCACTGTTTGTCCAGTGGCATATTCGGCATCACTTCATGCCACAAATCCCAGAGTCAGCAGCCCCAAGGCTGGATCTGGTGATGATGTGGTAATGAAGAGCATGACAGTTAGCCTCACCTGCTGAGCACACACACAAACACACAGCAGTCCAACAACAACTATAAACCACAGCTATTCTTATTTCCAACAATCATCCAATGGGTCCTGTTAAACCTTGTAAATGTCATAAAAAATAAAAAATCTCCACGTCCATGACAAAATAAAATTTAAGACAAAAATTGAAAACTGAGAAAATATTTATTTTTAGCAATTCACTAATTTCAGAGCTACACGGACGGACATTTGTTTTGACTGATTTTCCACAAAAACTCCAGGAAACTCACCACTAATGACAACAGAGAACTACCCAAACAAGCTCTCGGTTTTAGGACGAATTGAGGAGTAATTGAGATGAAAGCAACATGAACACCTATAGAAATGTGTTACAGTACTCACCCCTAAACCACTTTAATAAAAAAGGGCATACATACTGAGAAACTACTGCAACCCAACAAGAGTTATGGCAGAATAATTTCAGATGTGTTATACAGTAAATACCGCTCTAAAGTTTGACCAAAAGGTTGTACTGTGAGATTGGTACAGTTTTATGGGCTACTTTGTATATGTGGATTCTGTGGATGTGTGTATGTACTGTGCCTAATGAAGTGTTCTTCAGGTCTGTAATTGACAGGTGTCTTCCGTCCCCTGCATTTCCTATGCTGCTCTTTGTGAAACCTTTTGTGAGTCACTTTGTTGAATAACACTGCCTGGGGCTTTGTCTGTGTCCCGACAATCGTCATATCTTTGTGATGAACTGTCTGCTCATAATAGATCTGCTCTTTTCTTGTAGGATTTGTTCAACATGTGTAAACAAACAATCTAACGTGCAACAATGGCTTTGGTATTATCAAAAACTAAGCTAACTTAACGTCCCAGGTTAATTCTCATGTACTTGTTCTGAGATAAATGGCCGTCTATCTGCCTATCAACACCGCAACAACCCCAACAGCTGTGCTGACACGTCATCTCTCTGACTCCACCTCTGATTGTTCTGCCCTGTTTCCCTTCACACTGCTCAGCGAACTGGAGTGCGATGTCTGTCCAGGCCCGATCATGTTACAAGCCTACGAAGTGGTAGCAACAGATGGTTCATCACAGAGGGGAGGGGAGGCAAAGGAAGAGGAGGAGAATGAGCCGACCAAAAGGCACAATTATGGTCTGGAACTACATGCCCTTCGGCACCAGTCACGTGTTTTCTTTAGCTCACTTCAAGGTTGTACCGTTTTATATCATCAGGTGTGTTGTTTTGATTTAGAGGGCTAAGATTTAAACTTGATGGGGGCACATGAAATGGATGCTCTAAAAACATCAATGATGCTGAACAATAAAACAATATATCACATTTAACCAAAAATTTCCAAAAAGGAAACTGTCTCAATAGATATGTAATAGTATGTGTTATTTTTAAGAAACGATTGTTGACTTTATAAGCAGACATCTTCTAACAATGCAGTTTTACACCTTTGGCAAGTCAAATTTTGGCCCATAATACAAAAAGAATTCAATAAATCTTTTTAATATTTAAGAGGCAAGACGCAGGAACACTCTGGTTGTAGATGTTATTTTATGTTTTGAAAAAAATGTGCATATCTTTTTCTATTCAAAGCTAATGTTACATTTACCAGAAATTTGATGGATATTACCAGAAATGTTACAATAGTCCTTAGTAATTAATAAGTAATTTATTAAAATAAATATGCAACAAAATGTTTCTTGTTTTTGGAAGCATAATCCTCTTTGAGCCCTGCAGGGGGTGCAGTTGTGTTGCCCCAGCAGGAAGGTTAGGTGCACTGGGGTTATGCTTTCTTAGTAATAACTTGGTACAAACATATTTGTAATGGAAAGTAGTGCATTGAGGTAGGGTAACAGTGATTGAGACAATAATAAAATGTAGTAGTAGTCATAAGTTAAAAAATGTACTGCTTCCTATCATAGTAAATAACTTGCCTGGAATAATTTAAATAGAAAAGCCCACATATTGAGTATATATGTAATATCTATATTCTCAAACTCTAAATAAAATAATGTTTTATAACAGACGTTCCTATCATGACTAGGCTAAGGTAGCAACTTCTACTTCTAGCAACCTTCTAAACTCAGGAGGAGATTCTTTCATGGTTGAAAAACTAATCAAAATATGTCAATTAAATTAGAAATTCACCTTTAATGTTTTTTCATCTCCACAACCTAACCATGCACATACCTTATTGCTGTGCTAATCAGAGAAAAGCTTGATTGACATTTATTGCTATAAACTCCGTGTGGTGCTGACACCTGGCTTTACCTCCTGCATGCGTCTCTTGGCTCTCTCCAGTGCATCCTCGTAGCCTTTGTGCCTCAGCTCACTCAGACTCTCGTAATACTCCTCTGTGTCGTCACTCTCAGAGAACAGCACCTGTGAGAGGATCTTCCAACCGCAGGTGTCCAGGGCATGACCCAGGTACACCTGCAGCTGGTAACACAGGGCCTCTGCCTCCCTCTGCGACAGACCGGTGCCGCCAAACAGCACCGACCACACTCCGGACTGATCCTCCGGGAAAGACGGTAAACAGGGCTCCAGGTCTGAGTTGACAGAGCAGAGTTGGAGGTGAGCTGTCCTCAGGTCCTGAAAGGAGAACAAACCGGCCCAGCTAAAGTCCGCATGGCTATTGCTGTCCTGGTCTCTTGAGTCTCCATCATCTTGAGACATCGGGGCATCTATTGGGTCAAGGATCTCCACGTCCATGACCTTTGGTGTCACAATATCCCAGGACCCAATTGTGTGACTGATGCACTCCAATGTCTGAGACTGGCCAGGTTTTGAAGGCTTTTTGTCTCCTGGGCCACTCTTTGTTGTTGGCTTCCCTTTGGGGACAGAGTGAGGTCTAACTTTAGACGTCTGGCAGACTTCGTCTTTACTCTTTGTATCGGGACTTTTTGCGTATTTGTCATCGGTGGGGAGACTATAGTCCAGTAGCGGGTCTAGAAAAGTGGTCCTTCTCTGTACGGTTCTGTTGTGGCAGGTTATGGCGAACTTCTCCTCGATGTCGTTCCAGGCCACGATAAAGGCGAATTTGTGTCTCTCTTTTTCGTCGAAGACCTTCGGTCGGACGGACACCCATCCGGACTCCAAGTTGTCCTCCATGGCGAATGACATCTCACCCACTCGATGGAGACAATCGAATTAACGTACGCGACAAATATCTAGGCCAAAGGTTTCAAAGGTACTAGCGATCGGCGCTAGTATAAAAAAAAATTCAAAACTTAACGCAAACGCGAAAACCCTTCAAATATAACAAAGACTGTCCCGGTTTGTTTACCTGCCGCCAGCTGTGTCCTAGCGGCCGAGAGCGCAGCTGACGTCTTTACCCCCTCCGGATGCTCGCTACAGAGATCCAGACAGACTGAAGTTCACCGGACACCACGGTGTAAACGCAGCGAACAGACAGGATTCATCTTTGGGTATATCACATCGGTTGTCATAACGTCAGTCCGATCGCCTCCCTGACGTCGCCAGTATAAGAAAAATACCGCATACAGTGATTCTTCTTTGTCCGCTCCGAGACAATGCGACCGCACATAGTCACGTGTGAGCCTGTGTTTACAAGCAGTGAAGGAGCAAATGCGTGTGTGTGTGTGTCAAATCCGGGGTGGTATTTCACTGCTGCACCCTCCCCCTGCTTCACTGATGCTGCTTTCGCTGCCATGACAGAAGATAGGAAACGAGAGCTTATTCAACTTGACGTATAATATCGCACGTAAAATACACTGTCATAGCAATTTTGGATTGTGTTGTGTACAATTATGTGTACATTTTATTACATGTAATAATAAAGTATATTATTATGAACGCCTGTAAACATTCTTTGGTAACGTGAAACAGGAAAACTAACTATGTCGTTTTACCAACATAAAACCAACAAAGATAATGCTACAAACATTTGAATTCAGGTAAATATAGATTTTTGTCTTATCAGAAATTAAAAGTGTAGAATGACATTGAGATGTTTCCTTTTCGAGGTTTATGACATTGTTTGTGTTCGAAAGGAAAGAGAAAAATACACAAAGCAATTAAAATATTTCTAAGATTCCATGACGGAGCTCTTACTAAAAAAAACAACAAAAAAAACATCGCGAAATCTAACCTAAAAAATAACTCCAAAACGAAAAGATTGCCCTGGTCTTTTACTCATTTACTGTATACCTGCGTCATTATTTCATCCTGCACTAAACCTCTTATAGCTTTTATATTTTTGCTTTTGGTAAAAAATTAAGCGTTGAAACAATTTGAAAAAGCTTTGAAACAAAAGTAAACCAAAAGTATATTTCCTACTGCGTTCGTTTTGAGTTCAGTATATCATTTACTCATGTCGACGGCACCAGTCTGTCCTAAGAGCACACCACTGAATGTTTTGTTTTCCCAGTTCACATCAAGGTGTCACGACACGTTTGTTTTTGTTATTTTTTTGTTTTTTAGATAATTAAACTCAAAGATATGGAAAAGACAGTTTAGTGGCCATGCTTTCTTGGTTCCAGTAACTCATTACCCGAGGTTATCGTTTATTTTTTTGTTTTGTTTTAACAGTTTACTGTCACCATCGCTCTCTCCTTGTCTGCAGACGCGCACGAGGAGCATAAACATCTGCACGTGGGAAAATCCATGACGCAAGCACATAGGGGACGTGATGACGTTAATATACCTACGGCAATCGAATTAGGACGAAAAGGTCTAAAAAATAAAAACAACGTTATGATAAAAACCGACGCCATTAAACGAAAACAAGAAATGAGGTTTTAGTATAGCTGTCCTGACTTTTAGTGAACACGATCATTTGAATTTAGAAAATAGTTGAATAAATGGATTAAACGGTAAAAATGTTGAGATTACAAAGAAGAGAAAACTGTAAAAGCAATTAACATATTCGAAAAATGTTGAGTTTTCCAAGGAGGGAAAACTGTAAAAGCAATTAACATATTCCTTTTTTTCCCTCTTTTAAAATTATATCTTTTCAACTTTTGTATCCATGTGCACTCAAATGAACGCCTCTCCTTTTAACGTTTCACCATTAACGGACATTTAATCGGTGTTTAAAAGCAAGAACTCGTCTTCTTTGTTTCTTTCAATCACGAGGACATTGACCAGGACGTTTCATAAAGTTGTTTATACATATTTAGGCTATTAATAGCTCCCACATTGTCGTCTAGATGATAAACTTAACTGAAAGCAAAGCCTCTGTTCAGCTGGCGGAACATTGAGGAGCTGAACAGAAGGAGTCTTCCATGTTCAAATACAGGTTCAGATGTAACATTTGAACCTGTATTTGAGCAACTTTAAACTTGGTCAATATTGGCCCAAAATAGACCAAAAAAGAGTTTTTATTGTTGTTGTTGTTTTTGCACAATCCTAGTTTAGGATCATGTTAAACTGTAACAATAACATAAAACTTTTTTTTAAAACCAAACTACATTAATGTTATGTTATTAATATTTGATAACAATTTTAACTTAATTGAATAGCCTGATTTCAACGACATCATTAATACCTCTCTGGCAGCTACAGATCTGTTTTAACTTTACCGTTGAACGTTGGAGCTTTAAAACGTTTCTAGCAAGAGCCAAAGTTGTGTGCAGGCTGCACCCTATGTCTTGAAACTGGTATTGCATTACCGTGCGGCCTTCATAGCATGCAGCATTTTGATAAGATATACTGCAGACATGATAAAAAAGGTCATTAGTGATAACCTTTGCAGATAAAATGTTTTTTAAAGCACGTTTTGATAATGTTTTGTCAAATGGCGAATTTAGCCACCATAAACAGCAATGTACTGTATATATGAGTAAACCTCCACCCAACTCTCACTGTAACATATTATATGTTGTATTTAATATTGTTAAGTAACATTCGTAGTGTTACTCACACAAAGGGAGTGTTAGTCAGCAAATTGTGGTTTGGGTTTCACTATTAAATATAAGAGACACTAATTTAGTGCAGTCATAATTTCTATGAAGTCAATATAATTAATTTGGGCAATGGCTATCTTTACAACCCATTATAAAAGAGGTATACTGTACCTGTCATTATTGTTGGGTATGGCACAATGGTGGCAATTGTCCCCTGCCTCAACATCTACTGTGTACTGCGTATGATTTTCCTTATTCTCCGTATTTTCACTTTCTGACTTTTGGTATTCATTGTGTTGGCACTTGTTTATATTTTAAATATTTAATTTATATTTACAAAATATATTGTAATAGGTATGGAGAATTGTTGTGATTGGCTGTCCTCCTTAGCATCTAAGGGCAGTAGTTTGCACAGTGGTATTGTCAATGATTAGACATGGTTCGTGTAACCCTTTTTAAAACTGTAATGAGCTAGCACTAGCAGTAGGCACAAGGGCACACCGCCACATGTTAAGGAAGCTTGAAGTTCAACTCTGTATACATTGTGCTGCGGCCTGCCTAGCTAACCACACCTTTTCTGTTCAACCCTAACATTAAACATCACCACATGATGTTGCTAAGACCAACAAGTTGCATCTTTAGAATGCATTTTGTTTGAAGGCTTAGTGACAGCACCTCTGCTCTCATAAACATATCCACCCACATACTCATGTTTTGCTTGGATGTTTATTAATACACAGAAACCAGATTTTCTTTTTCAAAACAACAAGCACTTTTTAGGTCATTAGGATAATCACAAATTTTGGACTTCATGATTAGTAGCAATCGCATGTTATCCCTGTACTGAGAAAGGCACATATTGTTAAGGCATGATGGCTACTTTATAAAGTTAGTAAAAAATGGTCCTTAAGATCACTATGACTCCAACATTTTGTTTGGTATGTATTAAAGGTGAAGTGCGAGTTAGCCTCCTCACACAACAACCCTTGGCTTCTTCCTTTCACAAGTATGCCTCAAGTAGAGCTCACTTGCTCTTGGCCTTGTCAAAGAGAACCTTCAGTTGTTCATGAGATGTGGCCTCCTCCTGCTGCATCAGGTCAGCGTGGCCTTTGGTGATCCCCCAAGCATCAGGCTTGGACAGAGAGGGACAGAAGGGGCGACCGGAAGCAGGCTTCAGGTTCTCCCAGTAGTCACGACGGGCCCTGGAGAGGTTAGGGTAAGTTAAGTTACAATAACAATTTAATGTATTGTAACTTTTAATTAATAAAAGTGAAAAATTAAAATACTGCAGATACTACAACTCACCTCGCTCTGACCCAAGGCTTTGTGTGCATGTCTAGGCCACTTCCCCAGCTGCCATGCTTCTCAGACCCAGCAGGGAGACAACCTCTTTCCTTTGCCAACTCCTCTGCCAAGGCACGGATGTGATAGGGTTCAAATCCACAGCAGCCACCAATGAAACGAATTCCAACATTGTACGCATCCCGGGCATACTTCTGCATGTCCCATCTGGTCAGGATCCTTGGCTCCAGGCCTAAAGGGGGGGAGAGAAAAAGGGGGGGTATTCTATGGAACTTTTCAAACTCAAACTGTAAAGGTTTATTTCCAGAAAGTGTACATACAGAAGGGGAACTCGGGCAGATCAATGAATCCCTGACAGTTGCAGTCAGGAGTGTGGAATGCCAGTGGCTGGCACATGTAGTGAGCCTTCAGACCAGCCTTCTCCACTCCCTCCTTCATCATCTTCACAGTCTTCACACAGGTCTCTGGGTCAAAATGGCAGTTGATGCCCACAATATCAGCACCTAAAAGAGGAAACGAAACAATTAAGATACAGGCTGAGAAATCTGAAGGTGGTGCAAGTCATGATGTGCTGAGGTGTGCAGCTGAAGTGACAGATGGATTCATAGTAAGGTCTATCTGCTTGGGGACGCAATGCTATATCTAAAATGTTAACTGAAGCCCTGACTTGGTAATATAAATATGAACTTTAACCTTGGAATTTAACAATGAAATTAAACTAGAAGTTAAGTGTCCCGACCACACTACCAATGTATCCTCTCATAGAACAAGAGCCACGTAAAGGTTACAATACAGTAGATTTCAATATGTTTACCGGCTTTGATGAGTTTGACGGCACAGTCTCCAGGACTGACTTTGTTCAGATCTCCATCAGGTCCAATGCAGAGACTTGCAGCCACTGGCAAACCGGAGGTCTTCAAAACCTGGACTGCCCACTCGGCCTCTTCCACGTGCTCAAAGTACTGCAATACACAAACCACAGGGGAGGTAAACAAAACACTCAAGTTGACTTCAGCAATGAAATACCGTCTTAATTTTTTTTTAATACATACATAACAGTATTAAGTACATTAATAGCTCTGACTAATGCCCTGAGGGTACAACCAGTGACCTGTAGTCTGTTAGCTCAAGCCATTTTGCCACCCATCACCCTCCTATAAACTCAATAGAATTACAGCATTTCACCTCCAGCAGGTGGCGCCTCAGGTGTCTGATTTAGTGCTCTGTTTATTGTGCGGGTTTCTCTTTCCTTGAAAAGTGTTTTCCAGGACAAATTCAGCTGCTACAGCATGTCATTATATTCCCAGGTTTTCCCAGATATTTGGAAACTCTGCAAATCGTGTGATTGTGAGGACCAAGTTTTTGGCAGTCGCTGTGTATTTAAAGGACACTGATCAGAAACTATTACTAATATTAAGGTTCACCTCTTTGTCACTCAACCCGAATGATCCGTTGTAGAACCGTTTTAGGCCCAAAGAGGGCGCTGCTGCCCCACATATTAGGTTCGTGGCGTTTGCTCACCACATATTGTTTTTATTACAATCCTGTTCTGAGAGCACCTGGTCCTGCTGCTTAAGTTAGATTGATATGATCCACGTGACTGGGCTTAGATCTGAAAACTTCACCATTTTAAAAGTCTTAAAAAACACTTAGTATTACTGCATATTTTAGCTGCTCTCCCACAGCTACTATTATATGGTGTGGCATCCTTTGTGTGTGTTGTGCCATTGAATGGTGTGGAATAATTTTATTAAAGTAAAATCCAGCTAAAAAGGCACAACCAGTCTTTTAACATTTTAAGAATACTTTTCCAAATTTAAAAATTTGGCTCTTTTTTGGCCATTGGTAAGTACAAGGGGGTCATCATCATCAGTGCGTTATGAACATATTTGTTCTTTAACTGCAGGAAAATGCCTACCCAGGACGTTCACAAGTTCTGTCATCTGTCTGACTGTTTTTTTTTTCCTTTGTATTTTGTTAAGTGGCATTAGAAACTTAATGCCAAATACTACTAGGAAAATGAATGCGTGTAGCTGGAAGTTGTGAAATAACATGGATCACATCTCCACAGCTATTTTAAGGAGTTGCAGGAAACCCCAGCAGCTAAAGAAAGTGGCAGCACGGAAGCCTCAGTGCTGAAGCGCCGAAATCCCCAACACATCTAGTCCACCTCTAGTACATACCTCTGCAATCAGGAAGTCCACTTTCTTTGAGACAAACACATCCATCTGTTTCTTGAAAATGGCCTTCACATCATTCTCACTCTTGCAGCTGAGGTATGAAGGGGTCTGAGAGACACCTCCCGCCACCAGAGCGTCACCCTCGTTGGCCACCTCTCTGGCTAGGTCACACGCTGCCTCGTTAATCTGCTGGCCCTGCAGTTCAAAAACAGACACTCTAGATGTCAGCGGGTTCAGTTTCACACCAAGAGCGGCAAGTTGCCGATCCATGTGTGGAAGTCGAACGTAAAAACACACGAGTAGCTGCGGGCAGCCAAACTCACCGTGAAGCGCTGAGCATGGCCTCTGTTCACCAGTTTGTCATCGCTGGCATAGAAAGTAAAAGTCTGCATGACATTGGAGCCAGCCCTCAGGAACTCCCTGTGCAACTGACGCACTGGATAAAGAGAAAAAAGAAAAAACAAAAAAGTGGTTTGGAATCATTGTTTTTGACGTCAGGAATCAAATTAATGTCATCATTATCTGACCAGGTGTCAAGTAAATTAAATGAAAAGTACTGGTTGTATTTGGACCCATGGTGGTGGAGGGGGTGGGGTTAGTGCTCCTGTCTTACAGCAAGATGTTTATCGATTTGATTTCTACTGCTAATTTTATCTTTGGAAGGATGTTTGGAAGGAAGTTCTCCCTGTGTGTTCCTCCAGGTTGTCCAGAAACGGCAACTGCAGGTGTGAATGTAAGTGTTGTTGTGAAGTTGTTTATTTTTAGGAATTGTTTTTCTCTAGAGGACATGAATGGCCAGATTACTGCGACTAACTAGACTTAGGGGAAAGAAAGTGCGGGGGAAAAGCACATCCGAGAAAGGACGAGGCAAACAGGTCTGCACGTAAGCCATGCACTTCCGCTGTTTAACATCAGTGGGATCGGGAAGGTGTTCCTCACCGGCCTCAGGGTGCTCAGCAGCAGCCTCAGGTGTCCACGGCCCTGCTTTGACATAACCTCTCTTCTCCAGGGCGAAGACGAAGCCTCCGTCGCCGATAACGACTTCTCCTGCTTCCAGACGCTCCAAAACCCCCTGCGGGCGACAACGAAGGACTTAGGACACCACAGACTACACAGAAAACTGACTCCACGTCCTGCAGCACCGCGACTACCACCGCGCATAACGCATTTATTCCGCACAGCAATCGAACGCGCTCAGAAAGGGACGCAAAAAAAGACAACGTACCTTCTTTTGTCCAGCTGGTGCCATGGTTTGATTCTATCGCAGCAGTGACCGGTCCACGGAGACACTTCAATGGACTTCTGCCTGAGTTTGGAAAGGACTTATTGAGGGGTTCCACGCTGGTTTTATGAGCAGAGAGAGCATCTTAGACCCGCCCACCTTTTAAACACACCCTGCCCTGTATTCATTGTCAAACGTTAGATAACAGAATTTTAACGTTATGCACGGAAGAGTTCTGTTCCAAATATGTGCTGAACATTGCTGCAGTGGCTGGAGGAAAATAAAGATAAACATCTCATGTTTATGCAGTGTAGCTCAATGGAGAAGTTGATATTTTGCCTGCTCAGTTTGATAACGCTTTCATTTTGCATCCCTGGTTTTTCAGGTTATTAATTGGACCGTTCAATTGTTGGATGAAATATTTCTGCTCCGTGGTGTTGAAACAGTCC